TATATATATATATATACACATAAGCTTATTGTAAGTTTGACTAAACCAAAAACTCAATAGTCAATACACATAAATGAATATTTTATGATAACATGCACGTCCTCATTTACTGATACTCAACTCGAAATGCAAAAAGTAAGACAAATTGTGGGAACATTGGGAACATGATTTCAATTAAATAAATAAATACTCTATCCTAATGTTTTTATTTGTCATTTCAGTTTTATTGATCATTAATTAAATACTCCCTCCTATTCATAATAAGTGTCGTTTTGAGAAGTTGTACAGTTATTAAGAACATTTTTTTTGCCAATAATAACCCTCATTAATGAGGATATATAGAGATGAATGTTTTGAAAAAATATGAATAGTGAATATGAAAAGACGTAGTGTATTTATTAGCTAGATGAGGGTAATAATGGAAAAATATGTACAAAATTTCTAAAACGACATTTATTTTGTTAATAGTTGATAATGTCAAAATGACATTTAAAAAGAATATGAGGTAGTAACATTTTGAACCTTTTCTACATATTTTCTTATTATTAACATCATTAAATTAATACACTACAGGAGAAAAGTTGAGGAAAACGACGATCATTAAGAAAGCTGAAAAGAAACACTTTAATTAATGTTATTTTGCTTTAAATTAATAAGGCTAATATTGGCAGGAAATTTTTTTCTTAATTAATTATGTGCTAAAGCACCTAACAATAATTAAAAAGAATAGATTGTACTATTAGTTACCTTGGGGTAGTGTTAATCATGATGAGCTTACGAAATAGTTCGGGTCTAGAAATCGAGGCTAAGGCTGCGGCCAGGGCAGAGAGGGAGTGCCCGACGAAAATGCACCTCTCGACTTTGAATTCCTCCAAAATGGAGATAAGGTCATCCACGAAGCCTTCTACTGTGGAGTAGCGTTGGAAATCGAAGGCGTTGGGGTCGGTGGTGTTGGCCCCCATGTCGTCGTAGAGTATCACTCGATACTCGTCCACAAGGTGCGGGACAAAGTGCCTCCACACTGACTGGTTAGAGTAAAAGCCGTGGCCAAGGACGACCGTGGTCTCCCCGGAGCCTAAAACGGTGACGTTGTGAGCTGCTCCAACATTAGTCATGTTTGTTATTTTCTTTGTTTAAAGACAAATATTTGTGGGCTTTGTTGGTGTTGTGGGGGAATACGTACGTTTGAGACTTTGAGTGGTTTTTATAGGTGATGTTGCTTCAAATTCGTGACGTTGTTTTCACTTTTTTGAGGAGCTTCCGTGATGCTCAACTTGATATGTCACATGTGGTATGGGTAAGATGGATTAATTTTTCTACTAAAAGAATGAACAGCCCAAACGTATTGATAAAAGAAATTGGAACCCTATTTTCCTAATTTTTACACGAACTTCGGATATGTTGTTGTTCGGAAAGAGAGCTACACGATGACGTAAAAATTTTCAATTCCGGTGAGGTTGGCCGGAGACAGGCGGTCGGTGGCGACAAATGGCCGGAATTCAATTTTGAGACAAAATTACAACAATTAATAAAAGTTGAGATTTATTTACAAAATTGAAAAAGTTGAAATTTATTTACAATTCAACAAAAAATCGTGATTTTTTTGACAATTAACCCTTTAATTTTCTATTCAAAATAATTTGAGCTGTTCATTATTTGGCCCAATTTTTGTGTTATCCAACATCCGTTTAAGTCGATTGATGCGTCATTCAATTCGTTTGAACTCAACTAAAGTTTGAATTAGGATAATAGTATAAAAATAGTGTTTTACATCAGAGTTGACTTGATATCAATTGGCGCTGAAGTTGAGGTGTTGACTAATATTGCCTATTCGGATTGACGCATCATGTTGATTTAATTATGGCTGTCATTAAATACCGCACCAATTTTTATTAAATACTCCACCCTTAAAAGGCAATTTTACAATTTTTTTAATTTTAATTTTTTTTGGAGTTGGCCGGCCGCTTGTTGCGGTCGCAGCTCACGCGGCCGGCCGTGCGACCGGTAATAGCGGTCGGCCCAATTTTCTTTTATAAAAAATTAAATATTTAAAAAATATATAATTTTTTACTACTATTAATTATTAAAGAAATCGATTAATAGTTATTAAGGCAAGTTGCTACAACATATATACATTCATTGCCTTACATTGAACTTTCTCATTCCATGTGGGATAATTGCAAATCAAAGTTTTCACTCTCCCAACCTTTTATAGACGCTCTTGGTCTTTATTATTGTGTTTGTAATCGATGTGGAATTGTCTCAAACCTCTAGCCTTTTATAGCTACTTTTTGCATTCTTTTTTGCTTTCAAAATCAATTTGAGACTAAATGATCCATGCTTTAACACACTTTCACTATGTATGTCAAGATGAATATCACATTATCATTAATTAAATTTATTATTATCTTAAATTGATAAATGATTAAATTTAACTAAATGAACATGAAATATGGAAAAACATTATGGGCTTTACATAACAAAATAAAATACACTTATCATCCTACTCTTTTGTTAGTGAAATAAAAAAATAATATAAATATTATAGATATATATATATATAAGTTACTATTAGTTAATTTCAATATTTGAATGTTTTAAATTGTCTTAATATTTAATTAACAAAATTTTATATATAAGTTTTATCATTTAAAATATTATATATATGTTTAAAAGTATTAAAAATTAAATATCGGTCCAACCGGTTCAACCACTGGTCGAACTAGTGAATCATTGAACCAGTAGCTAGATTGGTACGATGACCGGTCCCGTTTTCAGAACCTTGGTTATAATAAATATTATATATATTAGTGAAATTATAATTAGTATTGTAATATAATTAGGCCACACGAGTTTATCATGATTTTTTTTATAATCACATTTTTATTTATTATATAAATTATATTAGAATTTAGATATTATATTGTAAATAAAATTGATTATCTTATAGTTAGAATTTAGAAATTATTATATTGTAAATTATAATTAATTGTCTTATAGAATTTTATTATTATTATGTTAGAACTTAGAAATTATTATGTTATATAACATAATACTAATTATGCTATATGATTCGTGTGAATATGATAGTAGGAAAAGCGTTCTAACAAAATAGTAATAAATTCTAATTTATAATAGTAATAATCTATATACCATAATAATTTCTAACAAAATAGTAAAGTCTAATTTATAATAGTAATAAATACTAATTTATAATAGTAATACTAAATATTACTTCATAAGACTATCAATTCTAATATATACCATAATAATTTCTAACTTCTAACATAATATTAATAAATTCTAACCTCTAACAAAATAATAATAAATTATAATTTATAAGACAATCAATTCTAATCTATAATACAATAATTTCTATCCTCTAATAAAATAGTAATATATTCTAGTTTATAATACAATCATTTCTAATCTATACCATAATAATTTCTAACTTCTAACATAGTAGTATTGAATATTAGTTTAAGACTATCAATTCTAATCTACTAGTGCAGAGCCCGTGCGATGCACGCGGTGCACAATTCTAAGGTCATTTATCCAACATTATAATTATATAAATGAATAAAGAAAAAATGTATGGGATATATATAGTACGTAACTTGTGCGAGGCACGGGATATATTTATTTGGGGATTATTATACTATAAGATGCACAGTAATGCTCACATACCCACGGTGGGCACATGTTAATATGCCCACCGCTTATGTGGCATGCACACATTGGTGATTTATTTTTTTGAACATATTAACATCACCAATGTGTGCATACCACTTAACCGGTGGACATATTAACATGTGTCCACCGTGGGTAGGTGAGCAATATCCATAAGATGCAATATTCAATAAAAGTTTTACAATACACGAAAATAAATATAAATAATATAAATATCTAAATACATACACGATATGTAGAATAAATAAGCTAAATTACAAATCTGAAAATATAATTAAAAAAAATCAAAAATATATTTTACTAAACATGTACAAAAATATCTAAATACATACACGAAAATTAAAAAAAAAATATATGTTTCAAATTTTTAAATTAAAACAAAAATTCAAATTATTTGGCTTACAGTTTTATCATGCAGAACCAACTCGAGATATGATTTGTATGTGTTGCCCCAGTCTTGGAAAAACATTCTCACAATTCGAACTTTGAGCATAGGTCTATTAGACCTATTAACTTGTTTGGTTAACCCAAATCATTGATTCATTGTTTTGAATAAAAGAATGATTGTGGATGTTTTTTGTTTGCAAGAGGTTGACAGTGAGGAAGATGACGACTCGATATTTTGAAATTTGTAATTTATAGTGGGTAGAGTAGATATATATTGCTGTTAATATTTTTATTAGAAAATCTGAATCTGAATATACAGAAATCAGTTTGAACAAATCAGATCAGTTTTTCATACAATTAGATAATAAATTAGATAATAAATAAAGTCTTTTTATTTTCGTAAAGATTTTACGTACTTTTCTTTCACTTATCGGATGTTATGAGTTTTTTTTGTTAAATCGATTTTATGAATATAACTATATTTTAGTATAATATAATTTATAATAATTATACTAATATCATTTTTGGAATTGTATTTGTTGTTACTTCATTTTATCCTCAACAAGTACATAACAACCATAACTCAAAATTAACACCATAACTCGAAATTAGCGTATAAATACGGCCGAATGTCATAATATATCAATAATATAATGAATGTCATCAATCACAAACATAAGTCGAATATCATAATATATCAAAATCCAGCTCCATAACGAATATCACGCCACAACTTGACCCTGCTCCGGTGATCATCCTATCCTTGAACCGTCCCATCTAGGTATCTCTCCCAACAATAAACAAATAGGCGGTAATGGAAACTTAGAAGACAGATTCAGATGTATGAAGTGTTTTTAAGAACCAAGATGACCTATGGCAATCTTATCCGTACCAATAGGAAAGAGGTCGGTTATAACTTCCATCGTGTGTTCCTTGTTACAAGCACCCCCGTCCCATATAATTGCTATCTTTTGCCCATTTAACAGCTCTTCACAACTATCAAAAGGTCATCTGTAATGAAAGCATGTCAGTAATCAACACCGTTTCGTCCAAAATCTTCGAGTGGCACCTGCAATATATTACGATGTATGTTAATAATTTTACAAAATAATCAGTTATAGTATGTAACATAATAATAATAATTTATAATTTATTATATAATCGATTCTAACTTCTAACATAATATCGATAAATTCTACTGCATAAGATAATCTATTCTAATCTATAACAAAATAATTTCCAACTTATAATAATCATACTAATATAATATATATTATATAATATATTAACCTTATTATTATATATTAATATAAAATATATATTAATATATATTTATATATAATAATATATATGAAATTATTAATATAATAATTTAAATTATTAATATATTTAATTATTAATCAAATTAATTATTATTTTTTCATTTATTATAAAATATTTAATAATATATATGAAATTATTTAAATATGTTTTTTATATTTCAACATTTTTTAATTAACAAAAATTAAAAATCACGAAAATTAAAAAAAATACAAATTATATTATATGTACAAATAGTTAGAAAATGCAATTAGAATTTATTATTATTTTGTTAGAGGTTATAAGTTATTGTATTATAGATTAGAATTGATTATGTTATAAATTGAAATTTATAAATATTATGTTAGAAGTTAGAAATTATTATGGTATATATTAGAATTGATAGCATTATGAAGTAATATTTAGTACTACTATGTTAGAGGTTAGAAATTACTATGATTAGATTATTACTATTATAAATTAGATTTTTTTAACGAATTAGAATTTATTACTATTTTGTTAGAACGCTTTTTCTGCTATAATATTCACACGAATCATATAACTCTGAGAGAAATGTCAAACAATGTTGTCATAAAATTTGGTCAAATCATACCGAATTAATCGGTCTCAATGAATTGCTGTAACATAATCCGATTTTTTCGTTCAATTTGTTATTTAAATTGATATTTATGAATTTAAATTTAAGTCAGAATATTATTTTGTATTTTAAAATTTATTA